TCTCTAAACTTGACATTTATCTCCAAACTTCACACTTATCTCCTTTCTGCGATTAAATCGTCAAACCGTCGTCGTATCTTTGGGCTGGACCTTGTTTAAAATCGCGAGTAGGCTTTTATCGCGTTTTAAGACTTTCCGAGCCGTTTTGCGATAAAAACCGTTTTACGATTTTTAAACGAGATCGCTTCCTGATATGATGCCGTTTTTTTAAGTAAGCATCTCGAGTTAATCGTAAAGTTTGGCAATGCTTGATTTTTTTGTTTAATTGTTGCCGTTTTTTACGATTTACTCGAGGTTTTACTAAAGACGTGTTTTTTACGATTTTTTCTAAAAAATCTCGAGTTAATCGTACAATCAGGCAATCTTCGGTATTTCGTTTGGCCGTTGCCATTTTATACGATTTACTCGAGTTCTTTCGAGAAAAAAAAGACTTTATGATTTTTATCATAAAACTTGATCGATAAGATGGATCGAGATGAAACAATAGACGTTCCAATCATGGTTCAGGTCACGATTGGAGTCGAGGGACATATGCTTCGTGTGGGGAGTGCGGGGATCAGGGCTCTGATTGGTCAGCTTGCCGTATGGCGAGCTGACTTGAGTGGCGAGCTTACTTGAGTGAACCAGATCGCCGTACGGCGAGCTGGTTCGTCTCCACTAGCTCGCCGTAGAGCTGAACCGGTTGGTTCAGCTTGGCGTACGGCGAGTTGGTTTGATCGAACAAACTCGTGATTACGGCGGGTTGGATGTTTTCGGTTTTTCGATCTGAGATCTTTTTACAAGATCTTGATAAGAAATAATCGTAGACGTTGATTTTGAGATTACCGTTTTTGACACCAACATATACATCATTATTATAGTGTGTGACTGGAAATTTGACAATTTTATATGTTAGCAAGGTGATTTATATTCAGTCAAAAAGGTTTGAGCTTCAGAAAACAGTGGCTGCTTTCCTCAACCTTAAAGCTCGATGAGAATCTTCTTAGTCGCCTTGTATCACCTTGTAAGTTGTGAACATTTTTTATAAGATTAAATCCTAAAGTCTCTGCCTTTTTCGATCTATAAGAGTAACAGTTAGTTTCTGATACAGCGAAACGTAATAGAGTCAAATGCGATTCAATGTAACAATGTAAACGATACAAAGAATCACGTCTTATCGGCCAAGAGCTTACAACGTAGAAACAGCTCAAAAGCTCAACAAGATGATTACAAACAGAGAGTTTTCAAGAAGAATCACACTACAAGTTTTCTGAATAATCCTTCAATCTAATCTTCTTCCTCTTTTAAACGAGCTCTGTTGCTTCCGCGTTACAACCTTCTGCAACTTCCTCCTCTTCAGTTGACGCGTGTCTCTCTTTATTAAAACTCCAACGACCTCTTACCGAGCTGACACGTGTCCCATAAGCTTTCCTATAGCAGTTTCCTTTGAGTCTGTTTTACAGTAGCAGGTACCATAGTTCCAAGGATTATACTTGTCTGCTGCCCTTGTGGTTAGTGATTCAAACGGCTTCAATTCTGACCCAGATGTTTTTAGTTGTTTATCTTGTGCCCTTTTTTTCTATCTGATTTTCAACCACCTTATTAGGAAGTTATTGATATTTGTCCCTTCTTTGCATATCTTGAACCTAAGTCAATATTCTCTATCCGTGTGTGTATCTGTTTTAACTACTCTTGGTAAGAGAATTGTGCTAAATTTGTATCAAAAGGCGTGATTCACTGAATGTTCTTCTGGTTTCTTTAGTCAAGTCAATACCTGAAGCTGAGAAACCACTTAATCCATCTGAGCATCCCCGAAACATCACCAACTGAAGTGGCAGCTCCTACCCTCCTCAAAAGATTTGTTTTAGTTTGAACTTTTGTTATGCCTTTAGTTTTGAATTATTAGTTTTAGCTTTTTGTTTGTGAATTTCAGTTTCGTTATAATAATATAATGTTTTAAAACAAATTTGTGCAGTCTTATTCTGTATCATTCCAATTTTTGTAACCAATCCTAGCTAAAACCACCACAACTTTGCTAGGGATAATATTATGGCTAATTAGATATGCATAATCCTTTGCCAAAAACGTTGGTAAAGAGCTACGGAAAATGTGTTAGCCATACCATGGCTATTAGCTACAACTTTTTTTCCACGTGAATCTGTTGCGAGCTAGTGACGAAACGGCAACGGCTCACATTTAGCGTCGGCTCTGAGGTCATCGCTTCGGTTCGTCGCCATCCATCACCTTTTGTTTTTTAGCTACAGATTCACCATTTCTAACAACAGAAAATTCTATAGCTATTTCAGTGATTTCTTGTAGTGACGCCTGTCTCCAATCCACTTAGAGCTGGGAGCTCTCATATGAGCAATGGAAAACATGATATAGTACAATGGATGTCAGCACTTTGGAACAGACTGCAAGAACGTGGTAGAGATGATAAAGGACCCCAAAGGATGGCCTGGCTTTGCAACTGAGCTTCTGGAGATTCGCGACTACAAGATCAGATTCAGGACTTCAAGATCTTTCACATACCGATGACCCGTAACAAGACTGCAGATGCGCTAGCAAGGACTGCTCGAGCTTTTCATAGGACTCTTATTTTTGTTGGTTGTTTAATCTCGGTCATGATTCATAGAACTCTTATTTTTGTTGGTTGTTTAATCTCGGTCATGATTTTCAGACCAACTCTAGTTTGAGTGATGTAATAAGCGTTTGTCGAAAAAAAAAAAGCTACGGTTCATGATCACTCTATTTGTGTGTTCCGCGTGGCATGTGATAACTACCAGTTTGTATAAAGATAAGGGAGACTTCTCCTGGTGTAGTCAGGTTTACTGATTCCGTATAAATTGGTGCAAAAAGATATTTAATATTGTTGTTATCTAAACTCTCTTGTCGTTTCAGCTTTCCTCTTTATAAGCAACAAGTAATCTTCTATCTCCTCTTTCTTAATTGATCGTTTGCTTTTGATCTGCTGATTCTTCTAGTTATATTCTGTGTTTGGAGATTTAATTCCTCTTTGAAAGCAAGTAATGTTACTGTCGGAAACCTGATCGTCTTGCTGCGTGAACTTGTCATTTTTTTTTTCTTTTTTTTTGCGGATTAGTCTGTCAAAGATCAGAACTTTGCTAGGTCGTCGACCCTTTAAACGATCAACAATTATTTATTTTGTAAATTTTTTTTGGCAGGAAGTTATATGAGTTTGTTGAAGATGGGTGGAGATTTGACGGATGATGATTGGGAATTTGCTTCATCGTCAAACCCTACTCGAACCCTAGTTCTTGTGGGACGTACCGGAAACGGAAAGAGTGCAACAGGAAACAGCATCCTTGGGAAGAAAGCCTTTATGTCAAGAGTAAGTACTCTAGGAGTGACAACCACATGCGAGTCACATAGAGTTACACAAGAAGATGGGCAGGTCATCAACGTCGTTGACACTCCTGGTAACCTAATTGTTATTCCTTTTATGACCCAAGTCAAGTTGTGTTACAGTTTGATATTATATGCGAGGCTTATTTGTGGTAATATTCTGTGCAGGTCTGTTTGATGTTTCGATGGCAGCTGCTTTCATCTGTAAAGAAATTGTAAGATGCATGACTTTGGCTGAAGATGGTATCCATGCTGTTCTGTTGGTGTTCTCTGTGAGGGGACGGCTTTCTGAAGAGGAGAAATCTGCTCTCTATCACTTGCAAACTCTGTTTGGTAGTAAGATCGCCGATTATATGATCATTGTGTTTACTGGTGGCGATGAGTTGGAAGAGAATGAAGAGACATTAGAGGAGTTTTTGGCTCAGGCGTGCCCTGAGTTTCTGAAAGTCAGTGTCTTCGTCGTTTGTCTCTTGCCTTTTTCAGGTTACTTATGTATATTTTGAACTGTTTGGTTTGTAGGAGATGCTGGAGCTATGTGACAACCGAATGGTACTTTTTGATAACAAAACTAAGGATAAGCGCAAGAAAGCTGAGCAAGTTCAGAAGCTTCTCTCACTTGTTGATTCCATCTCTAGAAAGAACAATGGAAAACCCTTTACAGATGAGTTGTTCCATGAGCTTCAGGTGAACCAGTTGATTATTAATAGTGTCTTCCTTTAATGTGTGTTTGAAGTAGAGAATGCTTATTATGATTGCTTTCTCAGGAAGAGGCTATCAAGCTACGTGACCAGAAAAAGGAGGTTGAATCACTCAAGGGTTATTCAAAAGATGAGATATCTGAGTTCAAGAAGCAAATAGAAATATCATATGACCGGCAGCTTAGCCGCATCACAGAGATGGTAACTCTATTTATAAGTCTTTAATACAGTGTTATCTCTGATCTTCCCAAAGGTAGCTTCATGTTAGCCGCAAAATATATTAGAATGTTTAACACTTCAACTTCACTACAAGTTACAAACGTTGTAAATAGTGTGTAGCTATGCATGTTGTCCTGATGTATACCTTGATTTGTAATATCAAACTCAGCTATGTCTTTTTTTTTTCTTTTCTTTTTGTCGTTTTCCAGGTGGAGACAAAGCTGAGAGAAACAGCAAAGAGGCTGGAGAAGCAGCTAGGTGAAGAACAAGCAGCAAGACTTGAAGCTGAAAGGAGGGCAAATGAAGCTCAGAAACGGTCGAGCGATGAAATCAAGAAGCTGAGAGAGAATCTGGAGAAAGCGGAGAAAGAAACAAAGGAACTCCAGAAAAAACTTGGAAAGTGCATCAATCTGTGATTATGAAAGCTTCTTTGAAGTCTCTGATAAGGGGCTTCATTTATTTATGCAATATATATGATTTTCTCATGAAAGACTAGGTGTGTTATATAAGTATTAACTAAAGACGCAACTGCATGTTAAATTTCCTTGTTTAAAGATCTAGTCTTATCATACTGGACGAATTTGAGTTTTTGTTGATTTTTAATTTCCTTGTTTAAAGACTAGTCTTTTCTGTTCACATGGTGATGTTTGTAGTTGCTGCTTACTTAGTCAAAGCTAAAAACCAAATTTTAGCTATTGGTGTCAGCTTTTGGTATCTTATGATCCTCAGGTAAATCAATCACAAGCTGCTACATGGTAACACACCCAACTCTGTCCGAATCATCACCGGCACAATGAGACCAAGCTGCATCACTATCCTCTCCTGCAGCTCAATACCCAGAGATTTGTTTATTCCTTTGATATCCCCAAACTCTGCCAGCTGGCTCATGTTTTGCTCATACAAAGTCTGTAACTGCTTCTTCATCTACGCTCTACTTTTTCTGCTCCCTAAGCTTCTTAGCACAATCAGAGAAACAACATTCGATTTCTACCTTTTACCTTATTATGCATTTTCCCTGTAAACAGTTCCTTATTGTTCCTCCGTCCAATAGTTGCGACATTGCAAGAAACAGCTGGACTTGCTCCAACATTTGCGTTCGTCTGTAGTCATCACGTTATTGAACACAACTTTCCTGCGAAACATACATTTTAATTCAAACTGAGCTTGGGTTTTAAACCGAAGTGGTTGGAATTTGGGACACAGAAAAAATCTCGTGCTTCAAAACAAAATCATACAAAACATCTCTTTGAAGACATATCTTTATATTCATTCACAAGCTTTTAAAGATCTCAACGAACACGGCGAGCTTTATCTTCCTGCCCCAACCCCAGAGACTTCTGTGCATTTGCAATGCCTTCAGGATCTGCACACCAGCAAAGTAAAAAAAGGTTCGTTAAGGTTGAAAAACACTGCCATCACTATTTCTAACATCACACATTTTGACTAGTCTCACCAAAGAACTGAGTGAAAATGCGGGTGAAGAAGCTCAAATTGCGAGAGACATTGTATGCCATGGCAGGAGGAAGAGGCTTCACCAAAGTGTCTGTAGTGAACACTCTTTGCAAGAACTGTGTAATAAAGACTATCAGACTTTACAAGCAAGCAAGTAAGCAAGCAACCTATATGGTTATCTCAACATACTAAGAGAGGATCTTTTGAAGAGACCTGATAGTTTCTATTGAAACTGTAGCGAAGCTGAGGATCAATCTCGAGGGAATCCTCGTCATCGGAGAGACTACCTTTGTTGGTTCCACGACTAGGGACGTGCATCTTCGACATTCCATCAGATTCCTTGGTGACCTTGAGCTTTGCGCCGCTGAACTTTTCGGAGTCATTGTCGTCGCCTCTCCACGGGGCTTTCGATAACAGCTCTTTCTTCTTCGCCATTGACCTAGGAGTATGTGTGTATGTCTTTGGCCAAATCGTGAATTTCGTGAGTAGCGTTGGTTGGTGAGATAAGGGTTCGGAAGATATTGTTTGGTTGCGGAGCTGAGCTTGTTACCAAACGAGAAATGAGTTTACGGATAAGCAAACAAGCCCAAACATATACTCACTAGCTCTCATCTCAAATATTAGGTTTTTAGATCTGTCTGTGACAAAAAAAAAAGATTTTTTGTTTTTTGGATCAACTACAACTTTCATTAACCAAACTATGATTACAAAGATTTTAACCTTATTGATATTTAAACCCACATACAACATCGAGATTTAGTACTACCCATGAACACTTAGAAAGTTCATACGCTACCTAATCTAAAACGATGTTGCATTTTTCACCATGAGAGAGACTAGTTCACTCCATGACTCGGAATGAACCGACTCTTAAACCACTAAATTCTACTGAGATTTAAATCTGCATCTTAAGCAGTCTTAAACCTGATGAACACTATGTATACAAATTATTTTTACATATTATTATTATATAACTAGGACCAGTCCGGGCTACGCCTGAGTTTTTTATTTAAATTTTAATTTTAGTTATATATGTTGTATGTTATTTTAATATATAAATATTATAGTTATTATAAAATATAAGTAATTAGACAACTATAACATTATTTTCAATTATTATTATTATTTTTTTTTTACGAATTTCAAAAAATTTAATATCTAAATTTTGTATGTCATATATTATCAGTATGTGTTTTGTGTAGAATTGTTGTGTACTTTGTGACGGTCATCTCAATTTTTATTTCTTTATTTCTTTATTTGTTACCGTGAATCGCCTCTAGACCTCTCCGAAGATGAGTAGTAAGATTGATGTACAGTATCTGGAAAAGAATATTGTATTGTACCGGATTGAGAACTCTCACATGAGAGAGCGTGTGATTCAGCGACGATATTGGCATATCGCAGACGTACCTTTGGTGGTTAACAAGTGGTCTCCAAAAACAGCTTTTGATCCTCCTGATCTCTCGGCCATGCCTATCTGGATTGATCTAAAGGGGGTTCTGAGCATGATGTTTTCTCATAAGGCTCCCCAATGTATCAGTCGTGCGGCTGGCAAGTTTGTCAAACTGCATCCGAGCACTGAGAAGTGTACGAGATTAGATGTTGCTCGGGTGCTTGTTGAGGTCAACTACAAGGTTCCTCTGGTGGAGAAAGTAAAATGCTTGGATAAGGATGGGGTGGAAGTGGTGATAGATGTGAGGTATCCCCCACAATGCAATATTTGTAATGCGTGGAGACACAAAGGGAGTAACTGTGCGTCAAAAAAGATTCAAGTATTACAGAAGGGGGAAGAGATTGCAGGGAATGATGCCACTGATGTGGAGATCAATGTTGATGGCAAGGTGAGATATGAGATTAACCCGAACCGAAATGTGGTGAAGAAACTGCTTCTCGAGTTAGAGGGTTTAACACCAGTACAAGGAAGTGAAGCTGTAGGAGATGTATCAAAGAAGATCTTTGAAGTGGGAGGCACTTCAAACTCTATAATTGATAAAGTGGCTTAGACATCGGAGAAGGAATGGGCTTTGGTTGAAGGCAAGACTCCTCGTTCTCCGCAGAAGAAAGGAACTAGTTGTGAAGGGACAAAAGAGGTTGAAGAAAAGATTGATGACATAATTTCTCCATCTAGATTCAGTGTTTTTAGCAATTGAGGGAGATGATGAGAGTGGGGAGGAGGAGGTTGAGGAAAAGGAAGATGGTGAGATATTAGAGGGAGAGGATAATGTGAACGAACCAAAGAAGGATACTAAGCAGAAAGATGTAGTGAAAAGTTTGCGATTCTGCTAGTTTCAAGCTTAGTACGCAACTACCAACTTGTGCTAAGGATGCTAAATCGGCCAGGTCAGTACTCTTGGACCATGATTTGTACCAAATCACTACCACAACAATTATATGATATTATAGATATTATTGTTGGGCCATGGTTCATCAACAAGTCTCATCTATACTATTATTTGCGAAGTGATTTTTCGCAACGGAGCTCTCACGTTAAAAGTTAGAGTGGTTAATATCGTTTATACCCGTAATGAATAAAATATCTAATAATTTGAAGGCAAGACTCTCTATGCGGGTATTTTAATACGAAAATATTTGAAATTATATAATAAAATTTATCAATAAATAAGTATAATTTGATTCTCTATGCTATCCAATTTATAATCGTTTTATGTGACTTATAATATTATTAATATAAAATTTATAAATTTATATTTTTGTAATAATTTCATTATTATGTAAGATTACTAATTTATATATTTTGTTTTATTTCTAAATTTGAAATCTATGTAAATATTAATTAAGTTGGACCTACATAATACATAAACAAATTTTGGGATATTGTTAAAAGTATTTTACATAATTTCAATTTTTTTTATAAAATAAAAATGAATTAAAATTTTAATTATATGTTATGATAATTAAAAATTTAATCAAATAAGTTTTGAAAATATTCTAAAATATTTTGTTAGAATTTTCTTAAAACTATTTATTTGTATTTCAAACAAAAATTAAAGAAATGAAAAGATATTATAATGTATGTAAAATTTCATAACACTCTAAAGATGGTCCAAACTAAAATATCATACATGAAGGAGTCATGACTTCTCTTTTAATATAATATATATGAATATTATTGGTTTTAAAAAATATAAATAATAATTTATCATTATAATTTTTCAATTAGTAAAAATATATTAGTAAAATAATTATAAAATGTTTAGGGGCAAAACATCTAGTGTCATTATTAAAAATCAAAAACGGAGTAAAAGTTAGTTATCGATCTCCTCGTATCTTGGAATCACGTGGGCATAAGAAAAGGTCAAGTACTAAGGCCTTGATTGGTAGTGCATTAGCAGAAACAATAGCAGTAAGCAGCATAAGCAGTATGCAGCAGAAGCTGTATGCTATATTAATTAAAATCTAATTCTATGATTGGTAAAGCTGTAGCATTTAAAATATTAAATGACCAAAATAGACATAATAATAAGTAAAGAATTTAAAAAAGGAATAAAAACAAATGTTTCATGTAAACAAATTTTCCAACAACTGAAAAACCTTATGAAAAACAAAGTTAAGTAAACTAATTAACTAAAAATCCAGAGAAGCAATATACATATAATTACAAACATACAACAATCATAGAACAACGTAACATCAAATTAATGTGTATATGTATCCATACCTTACTCGTTGGCTGCGTAGGATCTTGTGGGTTCGACATCGTTTCTGTTCTTTGTTATACCAATATTCTGAAACAGCATGTTAAAAGGCAAACACATGAACTAATAACTATTAATATTATTCTACGTCAAAAGAAAACTAACACAACTACCTTCTCATGTAAAACACAAATTTGAGTGAATATATAATTATATACGATCAATGAATTATATAAATAAAAACAACAACACAGCTTACGTTCAGCTTGAAGTTCTTGACGGCTGTTTTTAGCTAAGCACAGATTTTTGTATTCATCCTTTTTATAATAAAAGTCTTCCGTAACTGATATGATTAGAGTTTAGAAAATATTACGGTATTATCATCACAAATTTTATTAGGGTATTTTCGTAATTATTAATTAATAGGTTAGAATGCTCCTTTAAAAGCTTTATTAAAGAGCATTATGAAAAGGAGCAGATACAAGCCGCCAATGCTATTTCATATGCTTTAATTATTATTGTGATTGGATTTAGGAAAGCTTTCAGCCCATCTAACTACGGTACCAATCAAGCTCTAAATAATAGGAAGCACGTGTAACAAACCACTAAGCATCCCTGGATCCTATAAAAAGACATAAAGATGATTCTTGTAAGGGAGTTTAATGAAATAATAAACCCTCAACTATTGACCCATTCATATTTAAACCCTCAAGTATTCTCCTAATGAAATAATTCTTTAACTAAATTCTGTTACAAAATTTAACCTTCCGTCTTTACAAACGTTTATAACCTAACGTTTTTCCTTTCTAAACCATTTACATATAATAAAACAATAAAATACGTCTATTAAATAATAGAAACGGCAAGATTTGTTATTATAAACTACACAAAGTTTGGGGGGGTCATCAACTCACACTAATAAACCCTAAAATCATAAAATTTGAACGATAGATGGGCAATAGAGACAAATATTGCTAATCTGATTCCATTATACTCTGATTCTTCTCGGTGGTCAAAGATGATAATGTAATCAAATTCGTTTTTTGGTTATTGTATTTACTCATTGTTTTTATTTTTTTACGTTATGTGCGTTCAGTGGTCAAGATTCTTAGTTAACGAGTCACCACATTATTGTTTCTAGACGTTAGTGGTAAAGAACACTGACATACATATTTTATTTATTTTGATGCAGGACAAGTTTCTTTAGATTATATGTGGGTGGATATTGGACTTCTGATGGTTCATATACTGGTGGTGATATAAGACGATGTAAGGTCGAGTTTGAAAATCCAAGTATATCAATGCTAGTGGGAATGGTTCAGGATGAAGGTTTTGCAGATAATATGAGTAAGTTTTCATATTTTCCGTCAGCAGAAGACAATAATCGAAAGGAGTTGTGTAGGGACATTGATGTTGCAGAAATGATTAATTGCACTCATGAACGGGAAAGTATGAATCTATATGTTGTTAGGGATGATGATCCATATCTAGAAGATGTGCTTGTTGGAGAAGAGGAAGAGGAAGAAGAATGAGAGTGAAGATGAACCTACTGATTTTTACCGTGATGATTATGCTGAGACTGATGATTCAGATGATGATGGTTATCAAAGTGCTTTTTTTTGTTGGTCAAGCATTTTTGTCCAAAGAAAGTTGCAAGAAAGCGATTGATAAGTATGCTATTAAAGAGAAGGTCAATATCCGTTTTCAAAAATCTGAAAGTAAGAAAGTAGCTGCAGTATGTGTACAAGATTGTTGTAGTTGGATGATATATGTCTCAGT